TAATTGATTTATGTTAATAACTAAAATTTTATTAATTTTTTTTTTAACTATTTTCAAAACAAACCTTATTATTATTGTTGTTTATTCTTCACAAATCGAGTCAAAAGAAATTTTTTAATCAATTCAAGTTAAATGGATCAACTGATATTAGAGATAGAGATAAAATATTAATTGAAATTTTTCTTCCATCATCGCAAGTCGCAACTATTCAATTTATTATATAATAATTGATAAATTTACATATATGAACAATTGTAACTAATTTTAATAAATTGAGAATTTGAACAATTTTCATGTATAAAAAATATGAAACAAACATAAAGTCAAATTTGAAAATACCGCAATGTAATTATTTAAGAAGCGAAATGAAACTTCCTGCTGGAGATTTCTTTTTAGTAAAAGGTGTGGATTTCGAGAGGGTCCCACTCAAAAATTCTGTTTGCTGCAGGAGACAGATAGCATCTCTCATCGCACGGCACACAATATAATATAAATAGCGACAGTCAAAAGTGCATTTTTCATTTTCCATCTTCGCACCCGAATAATGACGCGACAACACAAAAGCCCGCGGCTGATTCATCTCTCAGCTTGGGCTGTTTGAAACCCCAAAACCTACGGCCAGATGATATTGTACACAAAAGGAAAAGGGAGAACCGCACATATAATAAATATGAATGGACCACTCGCTCATGACAATGAATGAGGGCCATCAACGTGATGAATACCAATAAAATCGCTGTGCATCCCCTTGCCGTTGCGTGATAAGCTGGAAGACGTAATAACAAAGAGCAACACTTTGAAGAGCAGCTTCTTCTTCTTCTCTTCGTGTGAGATCGCGTATATAATATAATATTCAAGGCGGCAGCCAACAATTATCGGCCTAATTAACGTGTCTGGCTCGAGAGGATCTTGCCACGCGGCGCTCGCTCTAAATTATTTCAATCATCACTTTCTGACCTCGATTAATTACCATCAAGGGTCTCTATATTTTCGCAGCCATACTCTTTCTCCGGGCAAAATTTTTAACCAAGCAGTGCTTGATAAAATGTTGTGCAATTGGCTCTCACACGTAATTTATGTATGCGCACAGAGAGCGAGGCCAGGATAATTTACGGTTTCCGAGAGTCGTCTGTTTATACACAAGCAACGCTGAGAGCTGCGGAGTGACACTTACACGCCATTAAAAAATCCATCGAACCACTTTTAGCACCAGCACAGATTATTAAATTTTACTTCTTTATGTATTTAATTGAAAGTTTCGAGTTCATTCAAAGCCGCAGGTATTTTTAATTAATTCGCACATGACCATTTTCAGAGACCACACGGACAAAAACTGAACAGTTTTTCCCTTTTTCATTCTATGCCCATATTTTTTATTTTTATAATATTTTAAAATTATACGGTAGAACGTTTTTGGTATTAAATGGAACACACGCATGTCTGCGTTTCCCATTTCCAGCGAAATGTACAGGTAATTACTCAATAAATAAAATTACTCTTGGAAATAAAAGGTGCACCTGTATAAATTAATTTCAATTACTTTCTCTCAATTAAATCGCCACTGACGCTTCTGATACGGATCGTTTTGCTGCCGAGAGAGCTACATGCACGACAGCAGAATTTCAGTCTCTCTCTCTCAATAGCGCACACGCTGGTCATTTTAATAATAAAATTATACGCCTCATATCTTGTTGTGTGTGTATAATTTGCTGCTTTAAATGGGCAGCACCGCGTATAATTTGGCGTCTAATGGCTCTCACGATGAGAAAATAAAACGTTTTGTTTTTATTTCCACAGATTCCGACGGTGTATGTGTCCTGTCAAAAATCCGGCCGGTGGCAATTTGTCTCTCCCCTTAAACAACAATGGTTCATCGCACCGTAAACGGCGGCAATTTATTTCCGCAGGCCCACCCTGACTATGCGGACCAATCGGTCTGCTAAGCAATTAACATAAAATTCTAAACACAAATTCAGCAGAAAACTTCCCCCTCGTCTCTCTTTTGTTTTCCAACCCTGGCAATAGTTCTGCGGCCGGGGCTAAATGGTCATTTGGGCCGCAAACGTCGACGCTAACTTTTATTGCGTTTTTCCTGGCGCTTGTTTTTCATTGTTATTTTTTTAATTATCCGAGCAGCCTGGCACGCACAAAAGAGCAATAAATTTTTTGCCTAAACGTGTGTGTGCAGCGGGCGGTGGTGGAAAATTACAAAATTCCAAAGCGCACGTCAGGCATGAGAGCAACGTTTTGACCACAATGTGTAGAGGACACGACAGCCGACAAAGGCGCGGGATCGACACTGAAAAGCCCCCAACAAATACACACAAATATAATAAAGAGATCTGCCGGTCAATACTTGAGCTGGATTATATGCTCGGTTTAATTGTGCGAGAGAGGTGTCGGGCGCTGAATCTGTGTGGTCCGACGGCCGCCGGCAATTTGCTCTGATTTTCATCACCTATTAAATTTCTCGCTGCCCCGGGCGCTGGTAATAAAAGCGAGCGGCGTTTAATCCTCTGCAGAGCTAAACTACACATAAGCCAGCGTGAGCGACCAATTGTCGACCGGGTGGCTGGAATTGCGCCGAGGAAACGCGAGCAGCCGCACCGGCCTCCCAGTCGAGCTCTCTCCGTAAAAGTGAGCTCTGCAGAAGTCCCAGAGCACAGCATGATGATTATTCCATTTATTTAAGTTTGAATGCTGTAATACATTTATTTTAGTATACCAATCAATATTAATCAGTTAATTGAATGTTGACATCATGAATTTTTTTAAATTTAATTACAATGACAATGATGACACCTTCTCGCATCGACGCATGGGGCTTACATTTTCTTGAAAATATTTATTAGGATTCCAACGCTGAAGCTAAAATAAATTCATTTTCAATCTCTACCACTCTGAAATTAATATTTAACGATAATCCAGACAAATGCTGAAAGTTTTGAATTGATTATAATTAATTTATAAAATAAATAATAATTATTGAAAACTAAATTAATTGTTTAAATTTTAGATAAATTATATCTTTTATTATAAACTTGAATTAAATTAAATTTTAAACTTAAATCTGCTGACCACCAGGTTTGACGCACTCGGACTCCGCGGACAGCGTCAATTAATAATTCCGACTGTTGGCCATATATTTTACGATTCTCTCTCGGCGACGATCAATCATCACGAGAGGCTTGCCTGGTTACGCATCTCAGCATCCCTATAGCTCGCGGAGGTCTCTCGTTACATCATGAATGATATTTCTCAAACCATAAATTTAAAAAGCAAACGAAGAAGAAGAAGACGAGTTGTTCGCCGCCGCCGCCGCGGATGACTTATAATATCCTCGCGCGCGAGAGAGAGAAAGAAAGAGCAGCTTATTTCGTCCAGATAAAATCTTTTCTCTTTCCCTTTTGCATATCGGCGCGCGGTGAATTAATAATGAAAAATAAATTTTCCGTCGGCTGCGATGCTCGTCAAGGTACATATAGAGTTTCATTCATTTCAGAAGGTAATTAATAATCAGCGCCATTAACGCGCTCGGACAAGCTCCTCTCCAAATCAGTAACTTGAATGACCACAACGGCACTTTATTTCTTTTTTTTTCTAGAGCAGATGTTTCTTTCCGCAACTGTTAATTTAATTGTGCTGAGTGCGCATTTATTTCGTTTCCTGCAGGCAGCTCGCGAAGATATGCGAAATTATAATTTATTTAAGGAGAGAAACTGCTGGCGAGAGAGAGAGGCGTTGCAAAATAAATTGCTCTCTTTATATACATTTGCTATATCGCTTTTGCTAATAGAGATTTTAAATAAATGTTGCCTCAGCAGCGCCGTTTTGTAATTAATACATGGCGGCTGCTTTCCAAAGATGGCTCATTAAAGCAACGTACGCACTAACGGCCCTGCTGTGTATACGCATATTAAAAGTGCTCTCCGAACATGTGTACGAGCGCGTTGGCCATTAAGTCATGAGAATAATAAGGATCTGTTGAGCTTTCATGCGCGCCGAAGAAAATATACACAAACGCGCCTTTATATGACACAGCACAAGTGAGCTGATATTTACTGCGTATTGTCGCCCGGGGGCATTGGAATCATTAACGAGTATTAATTGTGGCTTAATTGCACTCTCATTTGCACTAGAGCTGTTGTAATTGTGCTTTGGAGAATGGTTATTAGGAGGATTTGTACCTCAATCAAGTATGGAATACATGTTGTGAAATGTGCGGGCAAAACTCAGCTATAGCGTAATAGATTAACAATTAAATGTGCTATCATTAAACAGTGACCAAGTCATTGAATACACAAAAAAGTATAATAAATAACAAGAAATAGATCCTAAATGATATTGAGGCTTACTTTACAATAAAAAAAATAAAAAAATAAAAAAAAATTAGGAAATAATAAATAAATATAAAATAAAATTAATTTTTATAATTTAAAAAAAGATAGTTTAAATGAAAGTAAAGATTCCACCTGAGTGTGAGCTAGATTTATAAATTGGAAAATTTACAATGATAGAAATGGAAACCATTAAATTAATTTACTCTTTAAGAATGAAAAATTAATAATTTCATCATGTTGAAAATATAATTGAGATTGCTAACTTCAAAATAATTTTCATTTCTATATTATACTATATATTTAGTGTCGCTTCGACACAAAAATTAAAATAAGGGTTCCATTGACATTAATTTATAATACTCATCAACCTGAAAATTGTGCTAAGAATTGTGATTGTGACTTACAATTAGAAATTTTTCTTACACTTCCTGCCATAATATTTTGCATTTAATTTTTTGCGGTGCAACAATAATAATTATTTTCATTTTTTTCTACTTTTCAAATTATGTTTCCTCAATTAAAAGCAAGAAACTATACTAAAGTGTTAAAAAATTAATATTTTATCGTACAAATTTAAATTTCAAGGCAACATAAAAATCCTTCACCAAGAGAAGAGTAAAAATGTGCGGAAAATTGTATCAAATAAAATGTTTCGCTTACCTGAGGAGGGTCGATCTGAGTATCTGGTGCAGTAGACCCACGCCGGCCACAACATGGGCTGTCCCGATGGGGTGCTGCCCGGGGTTGATGGACTTGTCGGCGTCGAACTGGCGGAATTGTCTTTGGCCGAAAGGTTGATCGGCTGCGAGGGGGTGGCGGCGCCCGACGACGACTCAGGGCTCTTGCCTGACGGGGGTAACATTCGCATCAAGTCTTTGTTCTTCTTCTTGCCTTTATCACATTTCGCGTTGTTCTTGCCAGCGCTCGCAGCCACAGGGGCGCCGACGACGGGCAGCAGGCGGCCGAACTCAGGCCTCAGGATGTTGTCGATGCTGAACTTGAGGCCGCTGCGAAGGGCCGCCTCGTGTTCCATCAGCATGTGGTTGCGCACCGAGGCGAAGTCGGCGCCCGGAGAAACACTCAGGGCCGGACTGGCCGTCAACGAGGGTGGCGTCTCGCTGCCAACGCTGAGCACCTCGTCATCGTCCGAAGCAGCCTCCTCGGACAAGACTGAGGCCGGCGGGGCCAGGCTGGCCGAACCGGAGGAAGAGGGCGCCGGACTGCACATGTCGCTGCCGGCGCCGCTGCTGCTGCTGCTTCGCGAGTCAAAGGTCACTGGCGGCGCCGCCGACGACGAGTGGTTGATGAGGGCGGCTGCTGAGGCGGCGCGCAACAAGAGCTGTTGGTGGTGGTGCAGGAGCGATGCAATTGCGGCCATGTCTCCATCAACGTCTCGCTCACCGCATAACGCCTAATTAAGAGATAATTCATCAATATTCAGCTCCTTATCGCGCACTTAATTCTTCTGCATGATTTTCAGTCGCCGCTTGCTCCGAAGTAGGGGAGTGTCGATCCGGACGAGGGTGGGGGTGGTGCTCACAGGGTGGGGGCCCCTCTTCTGTTTGTACCGTCCGTACCTGGCAACTCAAAAATCGTCCCTTCGGCAGACCGTACCTGCAAAAACGGAGGAATGCACTTGTCGGTTCTTCCAGTCGGCACGTCGGCGGCGTTTCGGCGCTGTCGGCGCCGCGGCGGAGCAGATTTATGCGCGTTGTTGTCTGCACAGTGGATGAGATCAGTTTATCATCATCTCGCGGCGGGCCGAGTCGCGGCCCGGCCGGCGCGCAGGGGAAATCGTTATAGGTGGGAGTTTTGATATAATGGAAGGGGCGCATGGGAGGAGTTGCGGCCGTTAAGGGGAGCCGGCATGCGGCTAATCACCATAAGGTAAAATTGCTTTCCAGCTGCCACCTTATGCGCATGTTGTATAAGCGTCTGTGCGCGCGATAAAAGAAGAAGCAAGCGGTAGATGGTATATAAAAATAGGGCGTTGAAATTATATCGCGCCGACCAATGATGTAAATGTTTACTAAGCGCGGTAGGAGGAGCTCGCTCTCTTCGACCGTACGTGATAATTTGATCAGTTTTATTATTGCTGGCTGCTATTACTACTGCTATGCCTCTCTCTTGCTATATACCGGGTATATAGCGATATTTCACCAAATGATATCAAATGGTTTCAAACTTTATTATCCGCGCGCACCCATTACCGCTAAACTGCTGTTTACAATAAGCCCGGTACAATATTTTGCGCGCATTACGTTTATGGCCCACGGTTGCGTGGGCTTTCAGATTGCCGTTCCAAACGTGTAGCATACACACAGGTATGTCCATGCAGAGAGAGATGCCGCATAGTCGACCCACTCGCTGAAATTTAAAAGGCACAAAAAAATACAAATTTGAACTCAAGTATTTTTATCTCATTAAAAGTAGGTTCAAGTCTCTTGAAAAGTTATTACTCCCCTCAATTAAAATATCTTAACCTTCCGCCATTAAAATATTAAAATATTTTGTAATGCAATTTAAATTTTATGCGCATTATTCGAGGTCAGTGCCTTTCGTTCGCGCGCCAGATATCAAACGAAATGTGCACGCGCGGAATTAAAATGCAATGTTGTAATATGCAATGCATTCATCCCAAGGATTTAATCCCCTATTGTTCATTCAGAGCATGCAGCGATTTTAATATTAATTAATGCAAATTCTGCGGAGGTAATTGGACTCTTGATTAGTGGATTAATTAGAACTGCACGGCATTGCAATTAAATATAAACTAACTGGAATAACACTTTATCAAAGTCTTGGTGGAGTTTTGCATAAAAATATTAATGCTCGGGCGCGTTGTTCGAGTGTGAGTAAAAAATTTTAATTTTATTACCAGTTATGCAACAGCAGAATTGCTGCTTGTTATTTAAGTCAATATTTTTCAAAAAAGAGGAGCACCCCGGGCATTCTTTCATTTACACTCTCTATTAAACAATCAGAAAACATTTTTCTCTGTGATTAAAAAAAATTATTGCCATCCGGGCTTGAGTTAAAAAGTTTGCATCAATGCTTTTTTCTTTTCAACTACAATGCTATGTTCCTCAGTTCTTAATTACTTCTCAAATTAAGTTTAATCAAGACGCTCATTTATTTAAGAGCGATAACTATCCCAAGAGGAAAAATAGTGCAGCAGCAAAACGAGAGATCTATACTCTCACATTAAGAGCATTCAAATTACACTCGGCTCTCTGCTTCCTCTTCTTGCTCTGCTGCTGTGTAATAATGCATGGCAGAACCATTAAATGAGAAAAATACAGCGTGAACAATTGAGATCCGGTGCCAAGTTGAGCAGCGAGAGAAGGGAGGATTTATTTGTGCACTCTCTTGCTTCACTAAAGGGAAGGAACTTTTTTTAATTAAATAGATTAATTAACATGCTGAGAGCATTCAAACAGAATTGTCCTCTTTTGTATCAAACAAAACTGTGATGAAATTCTTCCACTTAATTGAAAAGGGAAAATCGAGTATTCGCCAATCCAATGTCAACGCGGCTTTTATTTGTTTCGTGAAAAAAGAGAGCGCTCTGCATCAAAAGCAAAAAGTATAATCTTCGTTAAGCAGCGGAAGCCGTCTCGAATTTTTCTGCCAGCATTTGGGATTTTTCTAGTATAATAAATATTGAGGATCGTGCAGAGATTAGCAAAAAATTCCGAGATATTCGCAGGTGTTTCCATCTGCGTATATAAACGCGCAGCCCGCATATCTGGAATAGCAGCAACCCAATTCCCATTCCAAAAAAAGTTAGATTTAATTAAATTAGGATAAAATTGGTTGCAATTTTAATATTGTTGCTCATTATATAAAAGAGCAATGCAAATTCCAAATGGGCCAATTTCTTATTGTCTTATTGAGCACCAATAAAACTGTTCGCATTATAAAGAGAACGTGACGCGCTGCTGAAAAAGGAATAAAAAATAAAATAAAACGTGCAGTCAGCCACTAGTTGGCGCTACCTACAAAACACGAAGGCAGAAAATACGCCGGGCCGCTCTCTGTCACATATTCTGCGCTCGCTGGACCACACACGAAGATTTCGGCCCTGAGGCTTTGCCAAGTTGTTAAGCAGGCAGCTTCAACAATTGTCCGCCACACTTAAGTATTCGCAACCCCACCTCCCATGATAAACAGCTCATTATGAGAGAGCTATGCTGCATGACTTGTTGACGGCAATTTATATAGTTCTAATGCCTGGCAGAGGAGGCGCACTTAGCCGGTCCTTTTCGGGCCTGTAATTTTACCTGGAGACGCTCTTTTATTTGGCGGATTGGCGAATTTTTGCTAACGCACCTTAAACCTAATTAAAATTCTAAACTGAATTGTCTGAATTTACTTATAATTTTCCTCCTTAAAAATAATTCCAACTATCAAAATTCCATAAGGTCTTTAATTTTTTTTGAAGTTATATTTAAAAAAGATGCCCTCGAAATAAACTTTAAGATTAACAGCAGGTTCACTTTAGTGTTTTTTTTATCGTCTCTACTTAAAAATAAGGATAACCTTAGTAAATAATCACAGGATTAATTTTAACTATTAATTATTTAAAATTTAAAAAAGTATCGCGGTCTTTTAGCCCTCTCTATATCATAATAAATTTCACATAATACTCTTCAGGTAGAGTATAAAACTAATTGCTACACGAATTTCCAGCTTGAATTGTTCCCCTTATTAATTCTCAATCTGCAGTCCTTCTCTGGAAAGCATCTATATAATGTAGGTTAATGAAGCACTTTGCAGCAGCTTCATGCACATACTCGCACTTCTTGACGCTGCCAAGCGCGCTTATACTTTGGGCCGTAAAATGCTGATTGCAATAATGTGGAACAATGGCGTGTAATTACTACACTGCGGCGTTGTGCAGCCGCTTTATTAGCATGATTGTTATTACACGGCCATGCGACATTGAGCGCTGCTTGGCGCAGAACGCGTCTTAAAAGGATGACAATGTTTATTATGAAGACAAGCGACACGTCGTCATATTATAGAGAAGCAGCAAAAGCGGTGACAGCTCCTTTGATGTGACATAAGTTGCAATATAACTCGCACCAACAAAGAGGATAGGGCTAACATGGCTTGGTTGAATTGTAAGGCAAACTTCAAGGGGGGGGGGGCAAATTTTCATTAATAGTTCATTTTGGGCAGGAATCATAACAATATTTACCATTTTAATTTATTTTATTATATATAAATAATTTTTGATTTAGAGAATATTAATATAACTATTTTTTAACAGTAACCAAGAAACTTTTAGGGAGCCATATTTTTATATAAAGAAGGTAAAGTCATTTTAAAAAGAAAAATTAATCTGAAAGATTAATATTTTCGTTTCCAGTTCCTTCATTTCTTTGTTGATTTCTTAAAAAAAGGTAATCGTTTATATTTTGTTGGATTGCCTTTCTTGTAACCATAAATAATCAATAAATAATTTATATGTGTTTGACTATCAAATTGTATTGAATATCAAATCTCTTACCATCGTCTGCACTATCATGATTAAATTAAAAATTGACAATTTAAATTATGAGATTTTTTTTAACATAAAAGCAAAATTGGAAGGCTGCATGTTGCATAATATTACGAACAGTGCGGAGGAGAGAAAATCTCTCTGGCTCGGCCGGAGTTTGTTTTAAGGAGCGTATGGAAGCGATTCTTATCGGCGACGCTGCTCCTTCTATGGTAGCAGCAGCTATTTCCATTTTGACAGTGAAATATTTATTACAACCAAAAAGGCTTTTGTTACTAAAAATGTGCGCGATAAAAAAAGAGAGAAGAAGCATTTGGGTTGGGTGCTCTCTAAAAATTCGGCCCATTTATTCTCGCCCGAAATCCAGAGGCTGCAAGACGCTCTTTCTCCTCTGGAAATAAATTCACGCAGAAATGCAAAGTATCCATCACACGGTGTGCGTTATTAATAACGCCGACTCTCTTTCCATCCACCCATGCAATTTTTGGTGATTGAAGTTGCATGTCAGACGGCGCGTCATCGCACAAACTGCCGGTGCTGCTTTTTCTTTTCCCACACACGAATGCTTTCCTCCCTTTTCGTCCGCAGCTATATTATTCATCCACAAACACACACAAAAGTCGAGGTGTGAGTGTTTGCGGTTGAGAGCAGATAAATCCATGCATGCGCGTTTTTCGTTGTTTTCCTCGCGCCTTGTCGTCGCCGTCGCCGCATCAATCACCGCGCTAAATCGGCTGAATTTCACCTCGGCAGCAGAACCCAACCCGATAGTCCTTTTGTCTAGTTAAATGTTTTACGCCACTTGAAAAAATTCTTTTGAGCTCATTAATGTTTTAAATTTTATGCAGCGTTTATTTTTGCCTAATAAACAATTTCACTTGGAGGACAACAATGAGAAATGCATACAAAAAATCTATGCCTTTTCAATTACTCTTACTAGGGCAATTATTATTTGTAAATAAATTTTCTATTAATTTTAAATTTTAATTCTTTTGGCTTTTTTGTAAAAGCAGAACAATTGTTTTATTAAATAATTTATATTAGCAACAATAAAGGAGCAATGCTTGAGTATCAATCCTTTAAATTTCTCCAATCTCCAAATTTGCATGAAAACTGGATTTTTGTATTAAATTAAAACACGGTTATTGGTATAAAAAATTTGGCAGAGTTTTGTTTTTACTGGAATTCAACAAAATAATGCAAAAGTTTTCTATGATGAGATATTTGATATCTATGCAACGTGCATGACAAAGCAAAGGAAAGTGTTGCATAACCTGTCATCCAGCAGGGGATTTTTCGTCAGGAGACTGGAATGCTGGATTTCAACAACATACATTATACGCCGCATAACCGCAAATTTAAATGCTTTATATTTTTATTGTTTTACAATGGTTAAAGATGATATGAGCATAATGCAAAAAGTTGTTAAGACAATTCTTAATAGATTTCCAAATTTTTTTAATCTGGCATCTGGCTGGCAAAAAAAAAAAAAGATTTTATTGACTTCTTATATTCAAAAGGGTAAATTTTCATTAATAGAGTGAAAATATTCTAATTCCTTAAATTCATGAATATTTGAAGAAACGATATTTTTTAATAGCTTTGCAATTTTACAAAGATTTGTTTTATTCTGTCATTAATTCAGCCCTAAATTTTATTATAGATTTGCCAAAGCTTGGTGCGAGACTTTGAAGGCAATTTTCGATTAAAGTGTCGAACATCACTAGACACGCCGGCTTTATATTAAGGGAAGCGTTTCGGCGTCAAATTCCACGTCTCTTACTTTCGAAGAGGGGTGCTACATGAGCAAGAGAGTGTGTGTGTGTCGATGGAATAAGAAGCGCCAGTGGGTTTATTATGTAGCCGCATGATTGGCCCATGTTTTGTAATGATAGCTGGGCTGCTGCTTTTATTCTGCACATCAACATGCAGCAGCAGCATAAGTGAATTTCATCCCCTCGATTGATCAGCAAACCAATATCACACGTGATACACACCCTCCTGCGTTCATCCACTTGAGCTGCTGCAAGCGAAAAGGGGCGCCGCTCGAGAGTGAAAAAATAAACTCATAAAACAAGCGAGCAAGAGCGAGGGGCGATGGCGGTGCTGAAATTTATTTCGGCGCCGCTGCATTAGCACCACGGCGATCCTGCGCCGCTTCTTTCAAAGAGATTACATTGATTGGGTGTGAATTTTATTTAACGCGAGCTAGCACGCCAGCACCCCAGCACCCCAACGGGCGCCTCTCTCGTTCTCTTGCGAGCTCGATCTCCGCCCGGAATAAATTGAGAGCAGGGGTGCTAAAGCGAAATAAGCTTCTTCATGCGAGCAAATGATTAGAACTAATTTATTCTGCGCGAGAGGCGAGCGAGAGAGGAGCGCCTGCTGTGCCGCGATTGAAAAATCAATGATTTGGTGCTCTCGGAGAAAATGAGATTAAATTAACCTAAAAAGATGATCTCACACGGAGAGAAAATTATAAATTATGACAAAACAAATTCAATCATGTGATATTTGCTGTTTTTGTTATTATTTTGCCATAAAGTGTTTTGATCAATCAAATGAATAAGTTTTTTTTTTTTTTTAATAATTTGCAATTCCTTTTGCAATTTCATTTCAGAAGAAAAAAATTCAAATGTTTGGTGCCCATCGTTGAGTGAGTTTTCATTTACAATTTTATAGATCAATATTTCGTGGGTGAAGCAAAGAGGGGAGCCTAATTGAATTGAGAGAATTTAAGCGAGCTCTTGATAAAATTGCGCCGGGAGTGCGCTCTGAGCACCGCGATTGGTGTCTCCCCCGTTGTCGGCCGGCGCTGCCTCGCTCGCAGTCAAAATGGCTGAGATCTTCGCCGGTGGTCCTTAGAGGCTCCGCCTGCCTGATCCTTGTACTGATCTGTACAAGGCATACCTAGTCGTCCTGCAACGTCGTTTTAAAGATATATGAAGTCAAAATATAAAAAAAATTATTGAAATCCGCAGCTTTCATTGATAAGGAATTGTTATTTTTTTCTATTTAATTGTATATTATAAATGAAGATTACGATGCTGGTTAAATATTTAGTGATGTTGGGTGAACGAAATTAAAAATTCTGCTCAGAAACGTTGATCTAAAAAATTTCAGCCTTCGCAGATAAAAATAAAATATATAAATTGTTGCTTCAATTTTTATTTTACAGTGAGCAGAATATTAAATAATCACCGTTGGCGCAAAAATGAAATATATATTATTATGAAAATAATTTTTATCTTTTTTCATAATGCTAGGCCTAAAAACGAAACATAAATTTTAAATAACTTAAAATTATTTTTATTTCCTGAAACCTTTCACATTTTCTGAGTCCTTTTTTGATTTTTTTTTTTCAAATCCTACATTGTCCACGTCAAAAAACTCAATTAGAAACCATTAGAAATGAATAAATTTAATTAATGGATTCCCATGTTTTCATATGTTTTAAAAATATTTGCAATAATTAATATTAAATATATAATGATTTTGCCAACGCAAACTCCTAATTGTTCACAACAATTTGTGCATTCATAATTCATGATCAAAACTATTAGCAACTTTTTCCGTTTTTTACTTTCTTATTCAAAAAATTTAATAATTTTGAAATATTTTTCAAAATAACATTTAAGGAACTTTTTTTTATCATTTTTCTGGATTTCTTTCCAGGTAGAATGAGGCACGCAATCTAGTGGCAAGTCTTGAAACCTCTGAAGCTGGACTGGCGCGTTTCAGGTTCAAAAATTACAAAATTACTTCACCTTCATTGAGGAATATTAAATTCAACATTTTATCTCAAATTTATCAAAAAATCTAATTTTAATAAATAAAAAAATGATTTTTTACATTATCATTGGTTTTTTTAATGCTTTATTACTCGATTTTTGTTTTTAAATTTTAATTTCGGTTGTTTTTCGGACTTTGTAGTTCCTCCTTTGTTACGCCCCCCGGTTCCATCGATCTAGCACTGCAGCCATGGCATCCAAGGCCCCTGCTCTGCTTAAAGGTAAATAAAAGTCAAGTTTGACATTCACCTGACAAAATTCGCAAATAATCCCTTTCCCTGATACATGCTGTTTCCATTGGAATCAAATTTCGTACCCCAACTGGCCAAATGCATTCCAAAAATTGACGTGAAAATTTTGCTTTTCAGGTGTCCTTGATGGAGCACAGCCCAAGTTTCAGACCTTTTTGCGCTACGCAAAGGTAGAACTCGTTCCCCCTACACCCGGAGAACTTGGACAGGTCGGACAGGGCATCCAGAGGTTGCTCTCAGGCCTCAGGACTGGTCGCTGGAAGCAGCTGACTGTCAAGGTGAGAATAATTCAAATTTGACCCCAAATCAAAATCAACATCTGGACCTAGAATAACTCCAATGCTTTTGTCTTTACACCAAAAATGTGTTTCTATCTTTACCAGGAGGCTACCCTGAACACCCTGGTCTTCACTGAGGTTGTCTGCTGGTTCTTCATCGGCGAGTGCATTGGCAAGGGTTCTATTGTTGGCTACCAAGTCTAAATCCGCCTCTGTGTAAAAATTTTGTCGGCAGACAAAGTCTTGTTGAAAACAGATTCATGTAGAATACATTCTTAAAATAAAATGGATATCGTTATAATTTAAAAACTTAAATTATTTTTGGTATTTTATTAAGTTCCAGATATTCAAATTTTGTCTCATATAAATAAACAATTTGTGACCGCCCTTTCAAGGTAGCTAAAATGCTGTTCAGTTTCCTAGAAAAGCAGCTAAAAGCATCAGAAATTAAATGTAAAATAGCTACTTTGTTAGGGGACCAGACAGAATTTTGGCTACTTTGAAAGCACCGTCAACGAATACTAGATCATTTTGATTTGAACGTAACAAATTTTCATATTATTGAGGATTGCTTTTAAAAGGGACTAACTAAAGGAATGACAACTTTGGTGAAGATAAGAATTACAAAATTGATCGGTTCAATGTGAGTGTCAAGAGCGAGTAATAAAATGGGCCGCAAACCAAAATAAAGCTCTTGCAGAATCAACGTGACTGCGCCCCTTACAAGCAGCATAAAAATGCAGTAATATACGAAAAAGTCGAAAAACGGTTTTCTTTCCTCTGCCGGGAATCTCAATTATATGAATTTAACCAAAAGGCACTCTGATGTGACCTCAACTGCCCCACCTATTTTATCATCGATTTTGTATTTGAAGTCACTGTTCGAGAAGTTTAACTGAATTACAAGTCTATAAGCAAAATTCTTTCTCTAAAGGCTCACATACCAGTAACAGCAATAATTCAACTTGCGAGATGCAAAAACCTGCTAAATTAAGCACAAGCATATAATGTGCCAATGATATCCAACGAACACCTAACTCTGTGCTTCAATATGTACACGATGAGCTATTTTTCTTGAAATGAACATTTTGCAATTTGATTTTGCATTATCAGCAGGACTTGATGCTAAAACTTCTACCAACAACCTCAAACATTGTTTGGACCAGAAGGTATTTGGATATTGTACCGTTGGGCAACGACCCTCTGGGCGATGGCAGCGTCTAGGAGGGCAAACAGATGGGTCAGTTCCATCTCAGTCTTGGCCAGAGGAATGGCTTTTCTGAAGAGCTCAACTGCTTTGTCTAGATTTGCTCTGCAAAGTTTTTAAATCAGCACTGAATATTTAAATTAATTATAATCTTTACCTTTGGACCTGAATGGTGCCCAATGTTTCATAAGCAAAGGAGCATTTATCGTCGATCTTGATGGCCTCATTGATCAGATCGACGGCCTTATCTAGGTTCTGTGACGAGTGAAGGGTCAAAATTGCTAATAAAAAAAAAAAAAAAAAAAAAACAGTATAAAAATATTCTGTCATTCGGAAAACTATTTAATTACCTTTATGTACATAGATTGTGGCATTGTCAGGGTCAATTTCAAGAGCCTTGTTGTACATCTCCTCTGCAGCATTGTATTTTTCCTGCTCTGTCAAAACCTTCAAGACAAATTGTCAATTAAAGCAAAATTAAAAAAAAAAAAAAAAAAAATAGTTATACCTGGGCATACAAGCTGAAAACTTCTGTGCAATTGTCAAAATCCTTTGTCGCCTTCTGGAAACCATCGATTGCATCTTCAAGTTTGCTCAAGTCCTGCTTCGACAAAGCGTAGCGAAAGTCGGTGTAGCATTTCTGGACAACAGCAATGGGGAATTTCTTGTTCAGCTGCACTGCTTTTGAAAAGTCTTGCATGGCTCCATCCAGGTCTTCCATCAACAGCCTCACCTAAAGTATTTTTTTGTTCATAAATAAACTCAAAGCAACAAGGAAAGCGTACCTGTCCTCTGTGGTGAAAGACGTCAGCGTTCATAGGTCCAAGTTCTGCAGCTCTTTCAAAGTCGAGCATGCTTTTATTTGGATCCTCCAACTGCATGTACAGGGATGCTCTTTTGATGAGTGCATTTATTCTTATCTAAGAACGAACATAAAATTATAAGCCATAAATTTTTTACATTTTTTTTATCGATTTTTATACTTTGTCACTGGCACTGATAGTTTCTATGACATTCTCTAGATCAGTCAAAGCCAGTTGGTGATCACCCTTCAAAAGGTGAATTGTGCCTCTCAAAAGTTGGGCTAGTGCAACATTTTTTCCTCCTTGGGAAATTTCCTCTGTTGCTTTGTTGAAGACTTCGCTGTACCTCTGTTCGTTGAGTTTTTCCTTGGCCCAAAGCAGAAAACTAAAAACAAAGATATTTCATATTTATTTTAATTTAAATTTATTTCTACTAAATACTATTTATAAATATTTTCAATCTGATTTTTTAACTTAGATGAAACAACCAACAATGAAAATAATTAGATAAAAAAATCCTTTCTATGAGCAACTATGACACAAAGCGTTCATTTGGTTCATTGTTGATTCAAAAAGCAGACCAACCGACTCAGTCAGAATTTTTCTCTCTCATTCAAATCAGCACCAAAATGAGCGACGTTGCTGAAAGTTGCGCCCTGTCCTGCGAGCTCGACCAGGAGCAGAGGAATTTTGTCAAGTTCCTCTTGAAGAAATGCAAACCCAAGCTGCTGGCCATCACAAAGAAGGCCCCGCACGATTCCTCCGCCGCCGTCATCGGCCTGCTGCGCGAGACCATTGCCGAAGTCACTGCAGAAATCGCCGCAAGGAGCGAGAAAAAGAAGACCTGCCTGGACACCCTGCTGGCCTGCGGAAGCAAGGACGGAACCGAGTTCCTCGAGGTGATGAACGAGATGCAGGAGAAGGAGTTGTTGGAGGCCCTAGTGAAGAGGGTCGAGGCCCACACCATCACGGCTGACCCGCAGACTGAGCTCAAGAATTTCATCGACGAGGTCTTCCGTGTGCTGGAAAAGTATGTTGAGGACAAGAAGGAACCTGAGGAGGCTGGAGCTGCAGATGCTGCTCCCGAACCTGAGGCTGGTGAAGCCGAAGCCACAGAATGAGCGACCTTCTAATTTTGTTGCCGTTAAAAAAAAATAAAAATGTTCCGTTTCTGGTTATTTCAACAGATTTTAATTTACAAAAAAATCCTATTTCATTGATTTTTTTTTTTAACTTAAAATTTTAATAATTTATTTAGATTCTACGAATTTAAATTGAATAAAAAATATTTGGATTTGAGAAAATTCTTATTAGTTGTTTTTTAATAAGAATTGCCAAATCGCCAACAAACTACAACAATGAAAAGTTTGCAAACACATTTAAGTCCCATTGTTGTCAACATTTTCATTTCACAAATTTTGAAGATGACTGAACTCCAGAACTTAAAGCGATTTTTGCGAATTTTGCTCAAAAAGAGCCGGTCTGACGCCTTGGCACGGCTGCGGAAGACCAAAGATGTGTCCAAGAGCACAATGTTTGCGATGGTGAAGGACGCCATTATTGAGAAATGCTACAAGGTGGTAAACAAGGAGGAAAAGCCGTCGTGCTTTGGAGGCTGCTCGTCCTACCCTGATGGATATTTTGACTGCATTCTGGAGATCCAGACCAACGGCCATCTTCACGCTCTGTTCAAGCTGTGTGAAACAAGGATCGCTGACATGCCTGACAAGGTCGATCCACACAAGTTCGTCAACGACCTGTTCAACCTGCTGCAAAAATTCTGCGAGGTCTCAAACGGAACTGGCAAAATCAGCCTCAACCCAAACACAACGAAAGAGGACATGGCAAAAACAGAGGCTTCGGAGCTTTCTAAAAATACCTCGGCTTCACCAAAGAGTGAGCTGACAAATTACTGTGCAGATGACTCAGACTCGGACGAGGAGGAAGTTAAAAAACATGCCCCTGTTCGGAGGAGGAAGTCGAGGAAAGCTCATGGCCCGGTAAGACAAAATTTCTCTCTGGCTGCAAGGAAAATAATTTTAAAGAAATAAAATTATGAATATCCATAATAATATAAATAATCTAATCCTGAAAAGAAAAATAATTTATTATTTGTTATAAAAATTCCGCAGGCAAAGAAGAAAAGTGATCCTAAGAAAGAGGCTGTGCAGATGCCAGTGAGAAAAACCTCGGAGGAAAACTTGTACTTGGGTGACAACGAGAGCAGTCCTGGCAGTCCACCGAAGGTGTCGAGCACCATGGCTGTTTACCAAGCCCAAATAATAGACTTGCCTCAGATGATTCTGCCAAAGATGAAGGATGTTTCTCCCCTGGTGGAGGTCAAACAAACAAGGTCAGCTCATAAAGGAGACCAGCAAGAAGCACCCCTGAGATCGATTCTCAAGAAAAGGCTTCACCCCCAACCTCAGGGACGTCCAGTGGCCCTTGTCCCTCAACCAAGAGCTCTGACGGGCAAAGTCCTTGCGACTCGAGCAAACCTCCCTCCTGATCTACTTCCTTCGCTCGAAAGACGAAAACCGAGATCGATTAGAGAAACCATGCAACCTGGCCACGCCGGCCCTTTGAGGATGGCCGCCAGGCCACCACTTGAAGTTCAGCAAAGTCTGCACGGAGGAGCCAAGTCGAGACCAATGTCCATGAGAAGCACTCGGGTGCAAGAGGTGTTGACTCGGAAGCAGCAGATGGACAAGGAGCGCACCTGCATCATTCAGCAGAACCAGCGCAGTAAACAGGAAAAGATCGTCCAAGTCAAGCAGAGTTTACAAAGTGAAGAGCAGCAGCGCCGGATGCTTGGCAAGATGACCAGGGAAGAGCGTGCTGAGAGGGTTAAGATGAGGAGGAAGGCCTTGGACGAGCAGAGGAAAGAGGCGTTTTTGAAAAAAGGGCTCTTGCCCACCATGAACTGACTATGCTTTACAATTACGTCCAAACTATAAAATTACAATTTTTTTAAACTCACCCGTCAGCTTCATTTCCACCATCTCCGTTCATTTCTGTTTCCTCCTTATGGGACAGGACTGGGTCCTCCTGGAACGACGACAGATAGGTTTTGATGAAATGCTTTGAGGGCATCACTGTTGTTCTCTTGCTCATCTCTTCTTTGGCATGTTTCCGTCCTGAAAAAAGAAATGGTTAATTTGATAGTAAAAAATTATAGACGTTGACTAAGTACCAAGTGCTTTGAGGATTCGATCTGCAGACAGCAGAGTACTTTCAGTTGAAAATCCTTCCAAAATGCAAGCTGATGTGACATCTTCCAAACTTTCGACCAAGTTTCCAAGGTTTTCGTTGATCTTCGACCTTCTTATCAGGGCCTTCACATACAGTGGGTCAAGTTCAATTGCTCTGTCACATTCCTCCTTTGCCTTCTGATATTCTTTCTGGAAAGGCAAATTTAAACATGGATAAGCGAATGTTTAACTTCTTAAAGAAAATTATCTTTAGTCTTGACACTAACTAGCAATAAAAAACAGCCAGACATGTGTATTAAAGCGTCCAGAAATAAAATCGTACCATTTGCTCATAAGCTGCAGCTCTGTTTTGATAAAATTTGGCCAGCTCCTGCGGCTGACCCTTGGCCTTGGGGAACATTTCAATTGCTTTCGAGTACTCTTCAATGGCCTCTGCGTATTTGTGTTCCTTGAATAGAGTGTTGCCTTTATTTTTGTGTTTCTGGCACTCGTCCTGAAATTCAAAGGGCGAAATCATGTTAGGTGTGGAAGAGAACAACAAATTTGAATTCCACTGAAAAGGACGACTTACCAACGATTCCTTTGTTGGGTCTTTTCTTTCCTGTTTTGTCTTCTTTGTTTGCGTCTGGGGCGCTGCATTGGTTGCATCGATGGACTCTTGCTTGACAATCTCCGCAGAACTCGTCTGTTCATCGCCGCCCTTTTTTGTGATCGCGGTCGCCGATTGTCGCTTCAAGTACCAGTAGCCGAGGCCGACAGCTACTGGGGCACCCACCACCAATGCAATTTGCCATTTAGACCAAGTTGTTCCCGCAAAATTGTAAGTGCCGGTGGGTGCCATGCTTCCCAAACTCACCAAACTCACAACCTTTTCCAATCCAGTTCACTTTTCACAGCTGGTGCGGGGGGCGCCTCCCACCTCCCACGGAGCGGATCAAGAGTGGCTTTTGACAAACAAAATAATTTTGTTTGTTCTCACTTTACCGCTAATTTTAATAGCTTAGAATTTTTTCTATTTTAGAATTGCAAGTTTTCGTAGTTGAAGATTTTTTAATTCGTATTTATTTGTAATAATAAATTTTTTAAATTTAAGACTTCATCATCGATCATTTCCACTTGATGATTGTGATCCTGATACCACAACATTTCATTTTCGCACGTGTGTGCTCGTTTGCTTGCCTGCCGAGTGCTGTTGACACGAAATAAAAAATCTTTTAAAAATTCATCCAGTGACTCTGGTTTATTGAACGATGTCGTTTTTCATCAGAGGGAAGAACAGCGTCAATTTTAAGAAGCCTGAGAAAACTCTGAAACGAAAAGTAAGAAGAAATTCTTTGAATTGAATCCAAAACATGATGCATGTTACTTTTATAGCAGATTCGCTTATCAATTTATTTTTATAATTTTTCTAGCGTTTAGTTAAGAAAAATAAAAAGGGCAATGACGATGCAGACGACTTGGTCGCCTCTAAGAAGCTGAAAGATGACGACAATGAAGAAATCTCCAGCGAATCTGACGAGGAGAGACCAGCACAGAATGGCAATGTCGAGCCCAGTTCTGACGAGGAAGAGGCAGAAACTGCCCAAGAGAAGAGAATCAGGCTGGCAAAGACATACCTTCAGGAAATCGAGCGCCAAGGTTGAAAAATTAAAATAACATAATTGGTCTTAACTTAAATTTATCTGTAAAAATTTAGAACGAGAACGAGCTGAATCAAAGGACATTGACAAAGAAGCAATCGGGAAAAGGATCAAGGAAGATTTACTCGAGCAGGCAGGAAAATTGAGGAAGCAAATTGCAGATCAGTTTGTCGGGTATAAACAAGAGGAAATCAAGCAGCTGAGGTGCAAGGAGCACAATTCTGCCATCACTTCGCTGGCAATATCGTTAGACGGGCAATTTCTGTACTCGGCATCAAAAGACTGCAGCATTGTAAAATGTATAACATCTCTAAAATTAATCAATCTGCCAATATTTCATGAAATAAACCCACAGGGAACTTAACAGAAAAGAAGAAAGTCAAAAGCATACCTGGAGGAAGAAAGGGCACTGAGGATAGACACAAAGGTCACACAACCTCTGTCAACGGCATAGCAGTTTCCTCTGACAATAAATTTTTGGTAACTTAAATATTTATGAAAATTATGTGGAGTTTTTCTTATTTAGTATAAAATCAGGCTAGTGGTGATGAAATTGGACAAATTCTTATCTGGGATGCAGAAACATTGGAGCTGCTGAAGACTTTTAGACACCAGGCAGCTGTGACTGGATTGGTGTTCCGAAGGGATTCTCATCAACTCTACAGCTGCTCGAAAGATCGTTCTGTGAAAATTTGGAGCCTTGATGAAATGGCATTTATTGAGAGTCTGTAGGTTTCACTGCTTGATTTTAATTGTATATATTTATGACTGAAATTTATTCTAGATTTGGACACCAGTGTGGTGTTACCTCAATTGATGCACTGACGAGAGAAAGAGCTATCACATCAGGTGGACGAGACAACTCGTTGAGAATTTGGAAGATTGTCGAGGAGTCTCAGTTGATTTACAATGGGCACAAGGGCAGCATTGACAGTGTGAAATTGATCAATGAAGAAAATTTCTTGTCGTGTGGAGACGACGGGTAACAAGTGACACAAAAAGTGAATCAAATAATCATATGTGTCTTCAGCATGCTTTGCCTGTGGGGTTCTATGAAGAAGAAACCGTTAGAAGTGGTTGAAAACGCTCACGGAGTTGACAGTGAAAACGACCAGCCACGCTGGATTAGTAGCATTGCTTCTTGTCTGAACACAGATTTGGTAGCTTCAGGTAAGCATTTTGTTCTCATTTCGTCCTACAAACGCCTAAATTTTTAAATTTTATTTATATTTATAGGTTCAAATGATGGCTTCCTTAGGTTATGGAAATGTGGGGATGGCTTCAAGAATTTAACTCCTCTCCTTTCGATTCCTGTAGTTGGTTTTGTGAATGCAATCTGTTTTACACCAGACGGATCACACGTGATTGTTGGCATTGGCCAAGAACACAGACTAGGGCGTTGGTGGCGCATCAAGGAAGCGCGGAACAGCATTTTGATTATGCCTCTTTTAAAGAACACTGAAATCACAGAAGCTGAGAGTAATAAAGAATAAATATTTTTACTGGATTTGCATTTTTTTTTTATTAAAAAATTTGAGACGTTCCCATAGGGTAAGAAATGAAGATGCAGTAGTGAATGCATTTTATTACTTGCATTTATTACCTGTACGCATACCAACTCACATTATAGTAAGATATTTGCAATAATTTACAAGTTGGTCATAATTAAATAATAAATAAGAGCAGGGATCGATGGCACCACGAACCCATGAATTTTCTCTCAGTTTATATCAAGTGACCTTTTTGTGTCCATGTCATGTTCAGTAACATTTCATTATTTCCTTCCTTTCAACTCAAAGCTAACAACATTCGAATGTTGTTAGATGAATATTTTTATAGAGTGAGTAAAGGTATAAAAATTGGAGTAGTATTTCGTATATAAATTATATGTTACGATTACTTCGTTACAGACATGAAAAGATTAAAACTGAATTTGCAATAAAACTCTGGAAAATTTGAAGAAACTTTGAGTGATGACTAAAAATTAAACTGCTCAATTTGATGACTCCCTTAATCACAGAATATTGCAGAATATAAATCAAAATACTCCCAAGAATAGAATCATAAAGCATAATTACAGAAGATGCACTTTTTTCAGTGGCATTTTAGGTGTGCAGCTGGTAAAATTTTACCCTAAAGAAGCTACACAGTCATATTCACAGATCGGCACACACAAACATCCCATGCAATCATGTCATTGAGAAAAGGATTTGAGATTTGAGACTGCAAAAGAAAGTAGTTGTTTAACATAAACCAAGATCTATAGTGTACTCTAAGAAGTATGTCGCATGTTTGCTGTTGCACTGTTTCTACAGGGTTTGTATTTTTAAAACTGGACTTCATTCGCACATCCGTTCAAAATCCTAACAAACATCCATTGATAGTTCTTCTTTTTGTTATGATAATCTCAGCACTGGCTTTTTTCGTCTACAATACAACATGGAACTCAACAAATGTACAGTAGCGTAATGATTCACATTACTTTTGCAATCCCTCTTTGCCTTGCCATTTGTAGAACTTGTGATAGTGTTTACATAAAATTTAAACCTGTCGATTTTTTGCCAACTCGTTAATCAATGCTATCAGCAAAGAACAATCATTAATGAGCCAAGAAGAATCTATGTGATTCTGTTAGTATCCTTTTCCGTTGCACTTTGTGGCTTCCATTGCATTACACATTCCAAGCTGCCTCAAAGAAATGACAGATTAATTTTAATTGCCGTGAAACACACATAATCAAAATTTCTACACATCCAGTTTTTTTTTGTTCAGAACTATAACTTGGATTGATTTAAAATTGGCAGCATTGAGAAAAAACCTACAAAATTTTTTTGCTCTAAACAATAAGAATTATAAAAAAGTGAAATTGTCAACAAGGCTGTCTAATCACTGACGGACAAAAATGTACAATATTTCCGGGAGAGTGAACAGTAATTTCCTAATAATAAATATTTTTGTTCATTCTTATGGAGCAGCTCTAATCCTACCGACAAACCCGGTGTGATTTCGATGGCCCTCCCATCCTATCTACACATTCAGAGGTTGGATTAGAATAGGAATTCAATCACTTCTTGATGTTTTCTTTTTTTAAGTAGTATTGTGGTTGCATATCGTGACGAAAAAGAGACGCAGATGAGTTTTTAATCATGCCATCGAAAGATAGCGCTTCACACGAATACCTTGGCCAGTGCATCTGCTCCTGCACTTGCAATGTATGGCTTGGAAGGGTGGAAGGCAACGTCATAGATACTTTCATCAAACTTCTTTCGGTGAGCTGTAATCTCTTGGACACACGTTTTATTGTCCAAATTCCACAGCCTTATACTGCAGTCATGGCCTGAAGATTAATTTATATAAGTATTCAAGCAACCAACAATATAAAAATAATTTACTTCCTGAGAGGAGGTAAAGACCGTTAGGATCAATAGCAAGACTGGTGACGGCATCCAAATGTGCCACCATCGAGTGGACCATTTTTCCAGACACATTGTCGAAGAATCGGATGTGTCGGTCCTCATGAGCTGTGACGGTGAGGGGAAGAGTCGGATGTGTCACAACTCGGTTGATTTGTTTATCTTGTGTAACATTTTCAGCCTGAGAGAAAGAGTTGCCAACATAAACCGAACATTACATAAATAACAACTTGTCAAAAATACCTGGTTGGTTTCTAGTCGCGTGACAGGCTTTCCTGTTTCCAAATCGTAAATTACACAGTGGGACGAATTGTAAGCTGCAACCATTTGATTGGTCTCGTTGTGAACGAAATCTACTGAAGTTGGTTGTCCATCTACGGTAAAACACCAATTAAAGAAGGCATACAAAATCATGCTTGGCCAAAATACCCTCTGGTGATGTAAAAGTGCTGAGAAGTGGAGCTTTGTTTTGAGGGGACCAGAGGCAGACGAGCCCATCGGCGCCGCAGGACAAAAGCTGCATGCGTTGGTTGTGGATGCTAAGACCCCACACTGCATCTGTGTGACCTACTAAGCTGCCCGTCAGCACACTAGGGTCTGAAAATATATTGTTTGTGAGGAAAATTTTAATTATTTATATCCGAACTTTTACCAAATGAGTCGTAAGGGTCTATGTTGGGACTGGGCAGGCTCCAGCATTGGATCAGTCCGTCTAGCCCGCCACTATAACAATTCTCGCCAGTGCCGCTCATAGCCAGGCAGAGGACGGGGCCGGTGTGTGACCTGAATGTGTACAAAGGTTCCACGTCCAAAGATGCTGACCTGGAAGCAAGGATGGTTAGTATTTCAAAATATTCAGAATTTAAAAAAGAAAATACTTTTTAGCAGGCACAGTTTTCTGTAAGTTCCACAATTTAAGAGTGTGGTCTTCACTGGCTGTAATGAGGACTGGTTCGGTTGGGTGAAAAGCAAGAGCCCGGACACCATCAAAATGGCTTCTGAGTGTGTATTTAGCATTCCACATTTTACGATAAGCTTCTTTACTAGAAGAAATCTGCAGAGACACAAGTTTTAGTCAAAATCAATAAATCTCAAGAGCTTCTTATCCACTCACATCATAAGCTGCTTCCGCTTCATTATTGACTGTCAACTGTGCCAATTCTCCAAGACCCAACGAGGAGTCCAGCCCCTCATCGTCCCCCAAAGCGCCCATCGGCCTCCTCGAGCTCCCAGCAAAACCAAGGGCAGGTGGACCACCTGAAGCACGGAGCTCATTTTGTGCATCTTCAGACTCGGTGAGCAAATTTAGCTCGTTTAGAACTTCCTCTGCCTCGGCATCCACATCATCAGCCAGACCTTCATTCATCAACAGACTCTGCAAAATACAAAACATTTATCCATGATTACTTAAATTCTCTGAAAATTACTTTGTTCTTTCGTTTGGCAGTTTTGACGTCATCCGTTTCATCATCCTGCTGATCATCCAAGTCGTCGCTCATGTCGTCATCATCATCCATGTCCACGTCGGGAGAGAGAAACTCAAAATTGGCCATCACAGCAGCTTCTGTGTCCAAGATCATGGCTTCCGTCAAGGACGACGGCTGCGTCTTTTTTGCTGGAGTTCTTCTTCCCTGAGTTTCACTTGCTCGTTTGTTGGATGACTCATTGCCATTGACAGCAGGCGATGACGAGTTGTTCAGATTTTCTTCTCCTTCGGCATTGTTGTTCAAGCCAAGAAGTGAACGCACACGGTTGGAACGCACGTCAAGAATGGTATCTGCGTAGCCAATTTCTTGAAGGTACCTGAGTGGATTTTTTTTTTGTTTTAAAATAAATTTGAGTTGGTGTCTTAAAAACTTACTGTCTTAATAACTGGCGGCCCTGCCTCCAGCTAATGTTGCTAACTGATGTGAAAGGCGCATCAGCCTCCAGTTTTGCATCAGATACTACGTCGTCAAATACTGGAGGCTTCATGTCCCCTTGCTGCAGCTCCGTCCCATATTTGAGTTTGTGGAATTTAGCCCTAAAATGAAATTTAAAAAAATTAGTTTTGAATCAAAAATTTCAATATATTTGAAATTGATATTTCCAAAAATAAGTCAATTTTGAAGAAGTGCGTAGAGCAACAAAAAGTAATACAGTCATAATGCAATATTTACCTTTCCTGTTTCAGGGCATATTCCAACATTTTAATTCTCCTCACGAGATCGCTTTTCACATTTTCTTGCCCCTTCCTCTCACCCTGTAGAAACGCTATTCTGGCCTGTGGACAAAGACAACATTCAGTCTCGATTCAACCCCATTGTTTACAAAAATGGCTGATGAAAAACAAGACGCCCATTAATATTATGTCGGACAAAGGCGCCCTTCTTTCGCCGGCTAAACCAATCTAGCGTCGTGACTAGGGGTGCTCCGAGATAAAAGGACCCTTCCCGTGAATGTATGAAAAATTAAAGGGTGCAAACTCGGCGATAAAATCGACAGATGACCGCCTTTCAAGAGACAACGCCTTCCGCTTGACTTTTCCCAGATGCCCCGACGTCACCCATCAAAGCCCGGTCATGCACCCCAGCCGGGGCCCAGATGGGGACGCAAAAGTCTCCCCTGGGGCCCCAAGTTGCGAAATATGCGGGGGACGTGCAAAAGCGAGGCTTATATTTACCTGAAGCTCGGCTCTTTCCACTTCCCATTGCGATCGTTCCAACTCAAACTTTGCCCACTCATGTTGGATGAAATGCAAAATGCCCGGTATCGAATATTGTGTCCTTTGATTTCCATCGTCGTTTTGTTTGTTGGAAACATTGCCACCTCCACTTGGATCTAATTGTCCATTATGATTTTGCGACGAATTGTCTTCCATCCCAGGCAAATAATAATAATCAGGCACCTTCATGACATGGCCGCCATTACAGCTACTAAACTTGTCTTCCTTTAATTTTCACTACGCTAGTCAATTCAGTCAAACTAAATAATTTGATAAATCGCGAATCTCTAAAAAAAATTTAGGTTTAAAATATAAAGTTGGTTTTTAAATTTTTTCCAAATGCACAATAAAGAAAATTGAAATATATCAACTATAATCCGGTGTATGAATGAAATAAAAATTTAGTTTCAGCATGTGCGAAAAGCGCCAAATTCAAAATAATATGCTATCCTTGAGGGGCAAAAAGAGTAAGTTAAAACCTGAACAATTTTACCAATTTTTTGATCAGAATATGCTAATGTACTTTATTTTTTCTTCATATTTATTTATGACCACCTTAAGAATATAATCAAATAGTTCAATTTCCAAGTCGCGCTTTATAGAAATTCGAAAGTTCCGTTAAAAAACTAAGGATTTTTATGTAGTAAATCTAAGAATGTTTAAGAACTTCAATTCAATATTAAAGAAAAAAAATTAATACATGTTTTTAAAATTAAATTGAATATCATAATTCAAAACTAAACTGAATGGTTTCCATCAGTTTCCATTTCGGAAAGATAATCATTATGTTTTTCTTTTCTTGATACACTAAATGATCCTAATTAACAAATTTGATTTAATGAGATTTCATAACCAAACGATCAATATATTTTATTTTCATAATTATTTCTAATTCTTTTACATTCTACTGGTTTTAACATAAAAGATAATTGGATTCAAATGGATTGTTGGTGCAGTATGATGTGCAAAGAGATTTTTATAATTGTGATTACATTAAATATTAGAAGATAGACCATAATAAAGTTGGGAATGTCCAATTTTCCACCGGATGAATTAAAAGATTTAACAACTTCAATGAAATAAAATAATTGGTTACTTATTTGTCGCTCCTAATTTAAAATTGGATTTGCAATTGTTTCAATTGGCCTTTCCTTGTCTTGCTTACATGATAATAGCTTCACCACATTCTTAAAATTAAGTTACAGGCTGCTTAAATGTACGAGAAAAGGCTGGACATAGAATTAAGAAATGGCGGGTTAAAATGTTTTTACAGGAATTCATCACACCAATCATTGAGGCAGTTGTAACAGTCGGTGGATTGCTTGGTATTTGCACTACATGTGTCCTTCAGCCAGTCAACAAACAGCTCCTGATTCTTCTTCAATACAAGGTACTGTCCGAGGACTACGTAAGCCTGCAAAAAATACAACAATTTTTTGTCATTAATTGCTTGGGTTTGTAACTTTAATGTGCTGTAATAAATCGTAGCTAACGAAAGTAATTAAATAAATATTTTTAAAATCAAACCTTATCAAATCCTTTGCCTTCAAGCCTTTTGCCGAGGACTTCGCCGATCCCAGCCAGCTCCATCACCGGCTTTTCGCCCATCGGCTCGGCGACGAAATTTCTGTGTTTCTGGGAAGTGCTCGACATGTTGCAAACCAAAATGTAACCTGTTAAGTGTTAAACAGTGAGTCAGTGTCAGTCGGAATGCTTGTATTTTTATGCTGGCATGGAACGGGAAGTTGAGGTTTCGGTTCCTTTTGATTCCGCTGCGTTTAAGCAGTAACGACTACAATTCGTTTGTTCAACGCGCAAAGTGACACGTACGACACAAATTTTCACAAATTTTGACAACCAAGCTATGAAAAATTAAGAGAAATCAAGGGAAAAACCTACCACTTTCCGCTCTAGACGACTGTCAACAATTCAACAAGCAAACAAGCACGGAAGTCGTCGTTTTCTGTTTTCTTTCAAAGTCGTTACGCAGCGAAACTAGCGCCACTTGCACCGCAGTCTTTTACAAGAACGAACAGAAAATCAGCGTGGTGATATTGAGAACTAAATTAACTCGAATAATTTGCGTAATAAAAAAGCGCGAAAACCATCATTGTGAACATTTAATTTATTTTGAGATTTAAGAAAAAGGAATTAAAAAATAAAATTTAAGATTACCATTAACCTTTAGGTATAGTTCGTGTTTCTGGAAATGAAATATTATTGAATTGAATGCTATTATATCAATTTTAGTAGTCATTCCGATTCCCAATATTTTCATTTACAAAAAATTAAAATATGTGGGTAAATGCACAGTTCTTTAATTAACATGAGTAATTTCCTTTAGGTGAGATCTTCAAATCAATTGTGCTCAAAAGAGTTCTGTTAAGTTTGCCTATTTCTTTACTTTTATCTCTTAGCCTATAATAATCGAAGAACTTGAAGAACTGAAAGATTATTTATTTTTTGTTATTTTTATTTGTTAGAGCTTTGTTTTTTTTAATTAAATAATTATAATTTTATTAATGATAAATAATTTCAAAATTTTTTACTAAAGCAAAGCTGATTTTAACAAGTCTTTGGCCCGGGCAACCAGATTTTTAGCTTGCAGATCACTTGATTTCCTCTTTTTCAACATCTTGATGATGCCACTAACTTGCCTCTTAGCTGATGCGTGTCTCTCATTATTTGCATCACAAATATTTTGATTAACAAACATGCTGAGCGAGACAGGAGAGTCTATTTGTTCGATCATTTCAGTTAGAGACCCTGGTTGTTCCTTTTTAATTCTTGATCGTTTCACCGTCACTAACTCCACTTCTCCATCTTCTGCAAAATATAATTCAATACCAACGAGAAAACTTTTATTTTTATTTTTAAGTACCATTCTCTAAATCTATCTCTTTATGTAGGGAATCCTGAGTTGATTTTCTCTTTCTGTACTTTTTCTCCTTTCTCGCACCAGGAGTCGAGATGCACTGCTCTGTGTCTACAACTTCTAAAAAAATTTCATTACTCCAATTTATTGGTTTCTAGAAATTAAAGTTAACTTTACCTCCCAAATCTTCATCACCACCAACAAAGGAAATTTCTTTGACGTCCACCAAATTTTCATTGTCAGGAGAGGGAGAATCTTGATTCTGAGAAGGGCCATCATAGAACTGTATAATTTCTTCGTCCTCGTCTTCCTCCGCTTCATTTACAACAAGGTCGAATATTTTTGAACTGCCAGAGCTGAAATTGAAGAGGTTATTGTTTAATTTTTACTGAACCTTATTCACTTACGGAAATGATGAGTTTGCAAATTCTACTTTGCTAGGATTTTCGACATCCAGCGCATCTTCCAGTTTTTTAGGAAATTGAAACCCTTCTTGACTCCAACTCGGTCCAGACAATGCAAGATTTGGAAGTGCTGGTGCAATAATATTGTACAGCTTACAGCACTGCCAGCTCAGTCTTTTGCAAATGTAACTGTTAAAAATAGTGAATTTATTAGTACAAAGTAAATTATTTTGACTACACTGGCTTTACTTTATTCTGGATGCAGTGCCTAAGAAAATAGAAGCCATCGACCATGAATGTCCAATGCGGATTCTCTCTAGAAATAAATGGCCCGACTTGAACGAGTAAAGAGAAATTTTCTCGAGTGTGGCCACCAGAACGATCAATTGATGCAAAACATGTTGCAACATTTGACGGGAAGGTAGATAAAACGACGATCCGAACGTACTCTCAGGCAGACACGAATTGAAATTTTCCAGTGTAAGATCAAAGTTTATGCTTTTGTACTTTTTGAAATACCTCTTGATCTGAAATTTAAAAGGAAAAGATATTGAATAAATTTAAAATATACCAATAATTTTTAAATTACATTTCTGAAGTATCTAAAACCGATGTCAAGCCTCAGTCGGTTGGAGTTGCGGTAAATCAGTTTGTTCACCAAGTCAATCTCAATGTCCAAAACTCGGTTTTCTGAGATGATGTTCTTCAGCTCTTCGCATTTGTTTTTCAAATCTCTGACCACTAGAATTGAGATAATATGATTTTTTATATGAAAAGAAGAATACACAATAATAAAAAATAAAAATAAAAGAAATTATGTATAAACACAAAACACAAATATAATAATTTCTTACTTGCCGCTGAAGCATTGCACTTGACTGTGCTGGTTGCCGGCGGTTTCAAAATAACATTTTCCAAAATTGTTTCCATCTCTTAGGATAAAATATTGCGAAGTATGAGATATTTAAAAAAAAAAAGATTGCATTAGCTGGACTTCCTGGACTTAAAGAGATATCGAGAAGAAAATAGAAATCAAAACAACAAAGAGCAGAAAAAGCGTGGAGAGTGGAGGTGGACCTCGCAGTCACAGCTGGTTCGGTGCAAGAAAATTTTGCCGTTCCATTTCTCACGTTCCTCGGTCTAATCAATTCACAGAGTTCATAATTTTGTCCAGAGGTGGCGGAGAAATTTAATAAATGAGACGATGTTAACTTTATTACATTTTCGTACATTTGGAGATCAAGCAGATATTTTTATTTGAGATTGTGATTGAAATTGTTTTTTATGCAATAATGTATTTTTTTTACATTCTAAAACTGCTCTTTATAATTTTTATTTTCCTTTTAAAAATTAAATTTCTTTAATAATTAAAACTCCCCTCCTCAATTTTATATTGTTAATTGTTTTATACGGTTTTATATGTAAATTTTTAAAGAGGAGGCATTTATCTTAATTAATAATAAGAAAATAATATAATATCCCATTGCAGAATTTCTTTTTGGCAAATATTTTAAATTTTAATTAGAAATAAAAACCCAATCTTGTTAAGTATAAGACAAAGATAAATATCTTCAATTAAATTCAAATAATAAAATATAATAAATAAATAAAAAATAAAGTGTTAACTCTATACTATCCTAAAATATTGCCTTGATATCTCAATTGAATAGAAAAACTCATACTTCATCGCAAACCCTTTGTCTATTCCATGATTTCCATCAAATCAGAAACCATCAAATTTAATAATTTTTTTATATTAATTATCAAAATAATTGGGCTTTGGGCTTCAATTAAAAGACACCGCCGAAATGCGATTGTGGTCTGGTAGAGCATACAGAAGCAACGAGTTCTTTTTCTCAAGGGCCGCTTTGCGACGCAACATTAAAGTCAGCCAATTAAATGCTATAATTTATGGCTCGGCTCTTTTTCTCTCATCACCGCCGGAAGTTGTTCGCTAATATTCGATGTAAAAAAAAAAATATGAGCAGGAAGTCCGTCACGTCTCTCAATGATCTGCCTGAACGTGCACTAGAATGAGCCTTAATAATTGACAAGGGCCGGGGTTCATATTTAATAAAAAAAAAATAATAATAATAATAATACATGACGTGTGATATAAATTTTATAGATGCTATAATTAATTTCTCTGCTCAGGTCATTGAATCGTATAAACATGTTCTTGGATTGATGGAAAAGTATAAATAAAAGATGATGCATAATTTATATTTGTCATCAGCGCTTGAACTTTTAATTTTCAGCAAAAAGAAAGCAAGTTACTAAAAATTCAAAAAACTGTCTCAAAGTATAAGCAAAAATATTAGGAATAATAATAACGTTGTTTTTTGGTCTTTGCAAGTGAGTACGACGTTTTGGTGGTTGCGGTGCCGCCGCCGTGAGTAATCGAACGCGCGAAAAAGACCTCGCGTGTATTGGGCGTTTGACCCACTTATTATGAGAGCACCCACCATTGAGTCAGCAAGGTCGCCTCAGTAAGAACACCAATTTCTCTCCGTGCACGTGGATGCTTTAGTCCGCAGTCCTCCAAAGGCACTTGTGTCTGCAAATCCAATTACTCGCCACAATGACAGATGCTGCAATTACGGGCGTTACACATACGTAAAAACCTCAAAAGGCTCGCTAAAGAGTTTATATTGTACATACGTGCCAAATATTTAGCAGCCTGAAGCCCTCAGACTACCAAAAAATCACGGGCAACTCCTTTGCCAAAAAGGAAAATAAATGATATGAACTAAAAAAAATAAATGTAAATACGTTTTAAATAAAATAATGTAGTTTTATAGGTTGATCAATTAATGGAAAATCCTTTTAAACAGCTTTTGTAAAAAAGAAAATAAAGTGAAATTATGTTACTTATATTTTATTCTTTGCTCTCAGAAGAGTAATTTTTTTTTGTATGGCACGTCAAATTTTAATTTTAAATGAGCAGTGCACTGCTTAGGCATCCGTGGCATTGAATAGCGTCATATAAATTTTAATGTGAGCGCCTCTTCTACACCATGCTTGTTAATCCCAAAAATAATTCTGACAGCGGTGGGCTTTAAGCATACAACATATTATGTATGAGCAGCGTCCCTCTGCGCGAGCTTTGTAAGCACCTTAACGCGGATAAAGGAGGATATCAAGTGATACAAAAAGGTGTGAATGTGTTGACTTGCAATACACGACGCCAGCAACCCATATGCGTCTGACCATTTACGGATTAGGTACGCGGGAATGAAACACGAAGCCCTATCAAGGTGTCATATAAAAATCACTTAAGTCGCAGTTTGATTTGCGGCTTTTCTCATAAGAGCACGATTTTTTACAAAAACTTTTTGATTATTTTGATGAAAAAAAAAACAAGTTTTTAAATCGTAAAATTTAAAAATTTTATATTATAAATAAAATTTTTATTTCAAAATATTTTCAAAAATAAATGCGCTGAACGCTTGGAGAAAAAAATTACTGTATTTAAAATTTTAATAAATAGACTATTTAACTAAATTAAATATAATTAAAATTAAATTTTCCATTACAGCTTCAAAAAATTGTATGAGCTAAAAATATTTAAGAATATTTAGTGGTTATTTTATGTTTTAATTATAATAATATTAAAGATTTGTTTATTAAAAGATATTATAAATTTTATTTCAATATATTTAAAATTTCTCAATTTACTACAAATTGAATTTATAAAATGAGTCTTTCGCACTGAATCATGAATGTTGCTATTGATAAAACTGTTATTTTCTTCTTTGCAGCCTCTCATTACTGCAATAAATTTGATAAAAAAATATTCTAAATATATATAGCTTTGATAAAATCATTGATTAAATTCTGATTACCTTTAAGGGAGAATTAAATAAATAGAAAATTTAGAGTTTTAGAGGTGAAATTATTTATTTGTATTTTTTTAATTTTATCAGGAAACGCTCGTGCGCCAAATAATTGTCAGCACTCGCCAGAGAGAACGCGGAGTTAAAAATAGAGCAGCACACCAAGTTCTTACCGAGATTCGCATGAAAGGTCCGCAACAAGGACACAGACAGACGCCTAAAAGCATGAAAAAAGGAATGATTCGTCCGAATTTAGCTCGATTGAGCCGAAAATCGAAGGAGAAATGTTCTTCTTCGCAGTCTGGTGGCGTGTAGGATCCATTGGAAGCAGCTAATCAGGTAGGATTACCCTGAAGAATTAAGTAACAGTCTGGTGGCCACGGGAATGCCGTCAGTCCGTCTCTCGCATTCAAAAGAATGGTGCGCGAAAAAGAGCGTGACCCAAGCACACAATGAGCAAACTACTTTGGTGCTCGCAGACAGATGCATTTCTTCTAATCACACTGCTATCAAGTGTCATAATTTTATTTCACACTAACAATGCCGACTGTCTGCCCACTGGAATTACACTCAAGTGCAGCGGCAGCAGCTGTCTCTCTATATGGGAAATTTCGCGCTTCAAAACCTCGGCAGGCGACACCAAAACCCCGGCGGCCAGACTTTTCAAGGCGTCTCGCCAGCCAGCCAAAGAGAGAAAAACTCGCCGGCTGTGTTTGAATGAATCGAAGCGAGGAGCAATGGATGAGAAAATCAATTTTGATGGCTATAGATGCAAATCAGATCTTCGATGTCAGAAGTCAGAGTTATATATAAAAAAGTTTATTTTATAAAAATTGTCATGTCAGAATGGAAATATGGAATTTTTTTAGATATTACTAATTATTTGGACACTCCTGAAAAAATTTATTGAAAAATTTTAATGAAACAAACAATTAAAATAAATGAAAATTTTCATCTTGGGAATGAGTTTTAGTATTGAATAATTTTTAATAAATGAAAAAGCAATTTTTCTTCATATTTTCCAACATCAATTGTCAACTTTGAACAATAAAAATTTATAGTAACCAAAATGAATACATTAATTGTCACACCGGTTGCCTACTTTTGAAGAAAAAAATTATTTTTTAATTACATTAATATAAGGTTTTTAATGCAATATTATAATTAAATTACCTAGAACATCATTCTAATTTTTTTTACAATTTTCTCTGTTAAATCTCCTTCAAATTACCCATTCTTGTTAAAATTAACTTGGGCTCATCAAGCGCTCTCAGGTGTCTCTCAAGAAACAATCAATGGACCCGCACGTGTGCACGACACTTTATGTGCTTTTTTTTCTTGCGGCGGACTCATTACCCCTTTTATATACCGAACAGGAAATTCCAACGTCCACCAGCGCGCATTCCTGCGCTAAGAGCGTCTTACTCGGTCGGATTTCGCCTTTGAACCGTTAGCTTTTCTAGTCGGGGGCACAGCATCCAGATGAGCCGCAGATGAAATTGGATGTGAACAAAACCGGAGGCATCCTTCAGTCGCAGCGAAGGCGCGCGCGTCACCACCACTAGACAATGACAAAAACAAATCAGAGAGAGACAATCAGGAATGAATCTCGCCCGCCGTATTTTCGAATGCACACGCAGACACGATGGCATTTTGACATCCAGCATCCGAGCGAAGGAGCCGACCGACAATGCCCGCCGGCTATACGCCAGAGAGAGATGCGTTCCTTTGCACAACTTTGAGTAAGATTATTTGCCGGGGTCACGGATTCTAGCATTATGCAAATTGCATTCAACCGTTTTAGTGGAGATTAAGAATATTTTAGTGTTACAACTGAAAATAAAATACTTTTCTTTTATAAATTAAAAAGCAGCAGAGTTGTAACAATAATAGTAAAATTATGAAATTAATATTTTGATTACTTTTGGAGAATTGAAGGTTAGTGATTTTGTTTCAATAATAATAATAATTCATTTAAATGGTTAAAGAACAAAAAATTTGTAAATTTTAATTTGATAAGCTGAATTTCTCTCTATCCTTTTATCCTCATATAAAAAACTTCTCCGAACCCTCTGGCAGTTCATTGACCTTTTAACAAAGGGTACAAATTTCGCGCACTTAAACGATCTCTAATCCACCTCCCCGGAGAGATGTTTACCAGCAGCGTGAACCGACCTCGGCATACCGCCCGTCCTTAGTCATCTCGGCCCCATCTTTTGAGTTTTTTGTGCGTACTCGAGAA